ATACACAGAAGAAAGAAAGTCATACAGGTTTGGAATGACATGAAGGTGAGTAAATGATACAGAAACGTTTTTAACTTTTATATAACGAGGGGGCCTCAGCAACCTTTCTAGGGGGGCCTAATATGACTTAAAATAACTTTGCTTTTGAACATTCTATTGACAATAAGTAAAACTGCACCTACAGTACATGTCTACTAACTCTCATTAGAGTATTAGTAGACTGTCTAATTAATATCTGCTAACTCTTTATTGTGATGGTCTCCCAACAGACATTCTACTGACTACAAGTAACTTTGCAAGTACATGTCAACTTAATCTAACCTTAACCCTACCAGTCTACTAATACTCCACTAACACTCTAGTGAGACTTAGTAGATATGTAGGTGCAACGTTACTTATAGTCAACAGAATGTGTTAAAGGGACCATCAAAATAAAGTGAAACCGATACTTTTACTTAAGTGTGGCTTTCAGGTACTTCATACAACACCACTGACATTAATGATATGTTAAGTGCTTAAATGAGTTGTATAAGTGAAGTTTCAGCACTCAAACTTATAATAAAGTTTTACCCAACAGTCTTTACACTGCTGCAAATTAGTGGCATTATTGTGAAATAAAAACATGAAGATGATGAAATGTGAGGGAATTAGAGCAGGTTACACTGTAAAAAGAAAAACAAATAAACAGAAAATGTAGTGGTAAATGTACAGGACATTATCTAGTAATATGAAAAATTCCCCAAATTAAATTAAAAATTAATACAGTACATTGTGCCCTAGTTTTACAGATTTTTTATTTTTAACGGTGTGGATGTTATTTAGATCTGTTTTTCCATTCTTCAAACTGTAAGAACACAAACCTGTTGTGGTTAGCCTTGTGCATTAGTTATCTTTTATCTCTTTTTCTTTAGGCATAATGATATATAAACCTTCATATCGTCTCATTTCATAGTGGTCCTCAAACTAAGATTTGACTGAATTGTGTCTGAAAAGACATCTCATCATTTGATTATGTAGATTACAGACCTTCAGTGATTGTTTTTGCAGCAGCGACAGAATATCATTTCCAAATGTTCGTTGTTTTTATAGTAAATGTCATTTTTGTAAACCTTAACTGGCTGCACCATTTCTGATAAATATGTCAGAGATTTAGTTTCCGAAAATCAAGCCATAAATCAAAGATCATGTAGCCTACTGATTTCACTTCATGGCCTATAGGCCTATGATATTTGGAAAGTATGGCGTATCACAGTGAGTTTTGACAACTTCATTTCTTCTTTGTGGATTCTTCATTTCTCAGTTCTGCCTTTCAGGAAATAACTAAACGTTTATTGGAAACCAATGAATGTCAACTGTTTTGTTCTGTCGTGTCCAATCAGAGAAACTGGACGCGTGAATCAGTTGTATCTTGGCAGAACCTGCACAAATTCCCTCACATTTCATCATCTTTATGTTTTTGTTTCACAGTAATGCCACTTACAATATTTTACAGCAGTGTAAAGACAGTAAAACCTTATTAGCCTATAGTTTGAGTGCTAGAACTCATAAAACTCATTTAAGCACTTAACATATCTTTAATGTACATTTAAAAAGGCTTCAGAAATGCATGATAGAAAGATATAAGTATTAGAAATGTCAGATTAATATATTTGACATATATGAATGCATATTTTCTAGCATACCTTTATAGTGATTTAACTGACTATTAATGAGAGTTGAAAGAGTAACCTTATATGGGTGTCAAATCCGTCTCTGAAATACGGATTTATTCTGTATTTGAAAGAGGAATGGGGATATTTGTTTTCAGTGTTATTCCTCATATTTGCAGCTTGAAGTATTCATCTCTCCATCAACTAATGACGCTCTTCTCATCAGCCAATCATTTGGTTCAGCTTCACATCCGGGACTTTCCACCGCAGACGTCCTGAAAAGCGGGTTCTAGAGGCGCATAAAACCTTTCGAGAGTTACAGAGATTTTGGAGACATAAACACACACAGACCGACAGTGATGGATGAGCATCAGGACCGGGCGCTGATTCAGCGTATGCCAAGCCAAGAGACCGTCTTGAACCGCGGAGGCACCGGGTGAATATTATTATTTTATTTTAGCCTATTTTATTTGCGATCGCAAAGTTTGTGGGACATAATTTTTTACATTGCATAGCCTATAAAAATAGTAGCTATATATTGCATTACATTAGTGCATGGTAGTAATTATAATATAGCATAAATGTTCAAGAGTTCATGCTTTGAAATGCTCTGTGGAACTTTTTTTTGTTTGTTTGTTTGTTTGTTTGTTTTCCAAAACTCTCTTTTGGTAGCCTGTTCAAGGACAGTATTGTGCGAATAAAAACATGAATTGATAATGATCATGAATAATTATTTAACTCATATTAGTGCATAGCTTGTTTGGGTCATTTAGTGTGAAATTCCTATTTAAAAAGGCGAAATCAGAGGGATGGAACTCAAACTCTGCCTCGCTACTGGTGACGTCACAGGCGCTGATGTTATTGATTGGTTGTTTTTATTAAATAGACAGTAGAGCGACAAGGCTGTTTTTATAGACAGTAGAGTTTTGGACAAGTTATTATACATAATGATTTTAATATATCCAGTTATTAGTGATTAAGATTTAATACGATAAAATCAAATAGACTTTACATTTAAGTGAGTTATTGACAAATAACAGACATTTACAAATTGATTTGTTTTTTTATGCTCTTTGCATAATAATTGTATAAATTTAATACTTTTCAGTATTTTCTGTTTTAATTTTAAAGGTTGTATTATGCTGTGTTTTGTATTTTTAAAAAAAGATGTCTATATAATTATTAATTACTATTATTATTTTAGTTTCAGTTTTAGTTATTTTAGTAGGCTACATCAAGTTAACTAAATAACTAAATAAATAAAATAAACGCTACCTTGACAACAAGCTAAAATAAAGCATACAGTTTTATATTGCAAGTTTTTGTTAACTTTTTTTTTTTTTCATTCTCAGTTCTCCTGAAAACCCCAACCAGCATAATCTACGATGAATATATTTAAAAACTGAAACCATTTAATTTATACTTTCATTTATTCATATAGAAGATGCTTTTATCCAGAGTAACTTACAAATGAGGATTATGAAAATTCCCTAAATTAGTTTCTCTCTTTTTTAAATCAAATCAACCACAAAACAAAAATTCCCCCGGATCGCAAACGATTTAAAACAGGCACGTTGTGAATCACTGCAAAATGACACTTTCTGTGCTAGACAGATGACCATTTCATTAAAGACACACACAGAAACAAACATGAGAAGGTCTCAGATGTTGTTCTGTGGCTCCTCCTGCAGGAGCTCCAATGGAAAGGCGCTGAAGGTGGCCGGACTGACGGTTCTGGCCTGTCTTCTGCTGGCGGGACAGGCGCTGACCGCGTACCTCGTCTGGGGTCAGAAGGAACACATCAGCGCTCTGACCACCGGCCAGGAGAAACTGAAGACGGAGCTCACCAGAAAAATGTCCGGTGAGCAACACAGCCGAATGAATTACATGAACTAACCATCAAACACGGATTCATTATGCACCATTAATTTACAGAAATACAAGTAGCCATTTCACCAAATTATTCATGCATATTATTCAGGGCCTATAATTAAATGCAGGTTCTCAAAAAATAAGGGGCTTAAACCTGTTTGTGTGGCACTTATGTATGGTTTGAGAGCTAAATGTATCATGTTCATATTGTTTGTCTATGTTTGGTCTGACAGGTGCTCCTCCAAAGGCGATGCATCTTCCCATGAAAAGCATGCCGCTGCTGAAGGATTTCTCTGATGAATCCTCTGACCAGACCTCCAAGAAGAAGAGCAGCGTTCCTCTCACTGTGAGATTAAAGATCTAATAATAATCGTCAATACAGCTGCAATACACTTCAGCTTTTTTTTTTTTCATTTTGAATATCTGATTCTTATTCTTTTTTTTTTTTTTAGAAACTGCAACCAATTTTCACAAACCAGAGAGAGGGCAGCGGACAACTGGATGGTACAATCACCAACTTATATATAATAAAAATAAATAAATAATATGGGGGAAAAAAAAATTATAATAATTATA